CCACAAAAACTATAATGTTCCAACTTTTACACAAATCTAATAAATTTCTAATGTACATGTCGGTCATACTGAATCCGCCATTTTGAATTTTGAAGTTTTTATGTATATCTTCGTAATCAGTTACCGCAAAAACCACGATCAACCCATTTTTCTATTCATCTGTAAACTCGGTCTATTTTTGGCCAGGTTTTCTCGATTTCACATCCCTGTGCGTCGAGTAAATTTCCATTTCGTCGTTTACTTGCCTCTCTTTCTGCATCTCGGTGCCTCTTATCTTAATTCCTCCTCCATTGAGACGACTGGCGCACGATTGAGCGACTCGCAATCCGATTTACGTTCGTCTCTAGTTCTACTCGCTGGGATAACCGTAAAAACAGCTGTCCGTTCGCGATAAACGGTTTACCTGGTCGCTTCTTCGTCACGGACACGCTTCGCGACGAACCTCTCCTCCGTCTCTGCATTCATTTACACGGGGGCCTGCTTAGCGTAAGATCGTCGGATAAGACGCGAACAGGAGAAAGAAAACGAAGTTTCTGGGGTGAAAGCTAACAAATCCGCCGTTGACAGTCCAAAGTAAACGCATTTATCGATCCGCTGATTAGAACGCAAACATACCTCTAAAACATAAAAATAGATATGCGATAGATAAACTTCCAAACTGGATAACGAAGACGAGCTGTTGACGCCACTGTCTCTGAAATGAGTGTACCGTGAATCATTGGGCAATTAAGAATGATTCAGTACGCCGGCGGAACGCTAACGCGTTACTTAATATCTATACAACAATAATAATATGTCACGCAACGATGGTAACACGGTTACGTTTAAATTCCAGCTTATTTACTTTTCTAGAATTAATGATATAACATTTTTTAATTTTAATTTTTAATTTAACGTTGGAGTATTTCATCGTTCCACTGATTCACTCGATTACCTTTCCAATTAAGCTGCCTTATCGGTGCACGCTAACTTCGGGAATGAATCACGGTACACAAAGGATTCGAAAGTAATCCAGGTCTAATCTAGTTTAACTCTAGCAATCTTGTCCCGAAATCCTCTCTCTGACGCCATACTCGAACGACCCTCGTCTGGCATCCTCGTGCGTCCCACAATTGAAATGCATTCTGAGTTATTATTCTCGATGCAACGTACCGCGCAGTCCTTCGCATTCGTTATTCCCGCGGTTGGTGGTTATCAGAGAAAACCAGCTGGTGAAAGTGGCAAATACTCGGCAACAATACCTGCTTCGGCGATCCGCGATGATTTAATTATGCATGCAGAAAGAGATGGAATCTTCTTCGTTAATTCCAAATCCGTGCGCAAGTTTTCTCCGTTTTATCTCGATAGAAATAAGATCGCCGAAGAATTGTTACATTTGCAGGGCGGTGCTCACGATAGTTTCGCGATGGAGTTTACTCGCGGCCGAAACCGCGAAAACTTTTGCGACGGTCCGATATTTGTCTCCGACGATGTTTCTATAATTTTAACTCATAAATAAATATAAATAATCAATCTTAAATATGTATAATTAAATGTATATAGAGTCCGCGGTTTGCACGGAGCGTTCCATGTTCGCAACGGTGACCTTTTGTTTCCCTAGAATGCTGCAGGTTAATTGGTTGCTGCACGCAGCTCTTTCTTACCGCGCCTAATGAACCAGTATTAAATCTAAAGACGACGGAGGGGACGCGCAACGTCCGTGAACCTGGGAGAAAGTGCAGGAACCGAAGTTCTGCCGCGGCTTTCGGAACGAATCCGAGCGATACTCCTTTCTCTGGTATATTTGTTTTGCTTCGATGAAAGGGAACGAGCCAGAGGGGCCGAGGCTAAATTGACTGGGATAAAAATGAATGAACTCCGCGGAATTTTCGAGAACGATTCGACCATGTTCCACCGCTATCTATTTTTCAAGATTGAAAACGAATTCTCTTGTTGTCGAAAGTGTGACACGCGAAAGATATTAAGTAATATTAACCCTTTGCACTCGATTCTATTGTCACGAATGCTAAGCTTAGATTGATTTCGAAAATGAGATCTCTGATTTGAGATATGAAAATCAGGTCTCCTTTGTCTCAACGACAATCATTTTATTGACACTTGGAGTTCCAAAGAAATGAAGCCTAAAGGAAACCTAGTGGTGACTGAGAGTCACCTTTCGAGTGCAAAGAGTTAATTCAAAGAACGCTTGTTCTCAGGATGGCGATTATTTGTAATAGTAGCAACTCCGAGTGATAACACGTTACTCATCATCTGCGGGAGGACGTTACACGATAAGGACGCTCTGCCTACGCTTCGTTATGCAACAAATTATAGCCCAAGAATTTACTCCGTCGCCGTAAAGTGGTCGAATGTCCGCCAGAAACTCCGCCTGAACGGTTTTATACATACATACATACATGTATAGTCGCTTACGCAATTGTACGACGAATTAGAAAAAAAATAATATATACATATATATATATATATATATATACATATGTTGAATTGAGAAACATCCTCGTTTTCGAAGTCGGTTAAAAATAATCAAAGCCCAGATAAAATAGAGTGGAGAACAGAGTTCGTAATGTCAAGGTTAATGACGAAGGATATCGCGAATATAATATATACTATTAGTAATTCTTTGAAATATTGTCGATATTTTTGCCCGGAAGAATCCAGTTGTGAATCATAATTACGATAAGGATTGTAATCCAATGTTTCCGAGTTGTGATTACGATTATGATTGTAATCATAATTACAAATTTGATTAGAATTAAAATCGTAATTACAAATTTGATTGGAAATTAATTCAAAATGGCCGACATGTACGTTAGAAATTTATTAGATTTGTGTGAAAATTGGATATATTATCGTTTTTGTGATCGTTGATTATGAATCTGATATTATAATTTAAAAATTCAAAATGGCGGATTCAATATAGCCAGCGTGTACATTAGAAATTTATTAGATTTGTGTACAAAATTGGATATATCATCGTTTTTGTGATCGCTGATTATGATTTTCACATTATAATATCGAAATTCAAAATGGATAATTCAATATGGCCGACATGTGTATTAGAAATTCATTAGACTTGCGTAAACATTGGATACATCATCACTTTTATGATCGCTGATTACGAATCTCAAATTATAATACCGAAATTCAAAATGGCGGATTCAATATGGCCGGTATGTACATTAGAAATTTATTAGACTTGTGTGAAAATTGGATATATCATCGCTTTCGTGATCGCTGATTATGAACCTGAAATTATAATTTTAAAATTCAAAATGGTGGATTCAATATGGCCGACATGTACGTTAGAAATTTATTAGATTTGTGTACAAAATTGGATATATCATCGTTT